CGTACCCATCATGCACTGCAGTAGTTGGCAAATTCCACGTGTTTTTTTTTTTTTTAATTAAATGCTTGCCCCGCAACATAGCTTACAACTATTGCATTTCAAAATATCGTACCTAATGTGTGTATTTTAACAATTTGTTACAAGCTAATAAATAAAAGCATAGAAAAACTCAAAAATGGGCTAGAGAGTTCTCCTAGAAATATCAAAGCTCAGCATTCGATTTATTAGGAAGACAATTGATATTTTCTCAGTATTTATTCACAAACGTTTGTATATGTGTATGCATTTCTACCTGCAACTAAGCATGTATTCCTTCACAATACTAAACCATAGAAACCAGTGAAAACCCTGCACTCACATTATTGACTAATCTCAACATTTATAAGATTGTGTTTGTACTGCCTTCAATTTATTATTAGATGACACTAAAAACTGAGAAATTTCAATAGGCACAAGTAGTTTTTCCTCACAAGAAGCAGGATAAAGACTGTCAGCATTTACACATCAAATTATGACATATCTAAATAGCCCAGAATACCGAAAACAAATCCATAAAGCACATGTGGCTAACTCAGGTACTCAATGTAATAAGCCTTAAAAAAAGGAACAGAAAACCCTTTGAACCCTATTCATTTTTGAGTTTAAACACAGTACTGTGTAAAACATCAAAGTTCAAATGTGACCAATAAGGTGCATCTTATTTGAAGAAAAAGAAAAAAAACATGTTACATTTGTGCAGAAGCATTTATGTTGAAATGTTAAGAAAAGTCTATGGGTCACATTACACTGTGACAGAAATTTTACGCCACACTCTCCAGCCCTAAGTTGGTGCCTATGCTCTGCATTTTATACTGTGTTGTGTTATGTATATTCAGACATTAGTCTGTTTCTGATCTTGACTCGGTCTAGCCCTGTCTTGGTCTTGGTTTAGGTGGTCTTGACTACGTCACTACATATAATGTGAGGTCTGCAGTCAGAGGGGGGCCCGCTGCCCCTGATCTTGCATATCCTGAGCTGTGACTGATCTCATAGCGAGATTGGTCCCCCGCAGCAGACCTTTAAACAGACTTTTTCAGGGAGTGTGGCCTCCCCTTTTCCACAATTACAATGAGTTGTTGGCCATTGTCATGAATGTTCCCAATGCAACTGAAAATTCAACACTATGAAGAGTAAGTGATTACATTTTAAACCATTTCTTTGTGAGTATACCCAAGTCATTACAACAGGGTGAATTGTTAAAATAGGACACTTTCTGAAAATGTGTGCTCAATTTACAGAATCATCTCAATGACTTCAATCCCAACTTGATACCATTCTAAATATAATAATGCTCTTTCAACCCTATATAAAAGAAAATAAAGCATTTTATAGCATGGGAAAAACACATTGGGTGATTAAATTGCAGTTAAAAATGTACAATTTGAAACACTACAGTAAATCACTAAGCATCACTGGCGTCTTGAAATGTTTACTGCTCATATATTTCAGATACAATATGGATTAATGGACCCCATGCCCTTGTTTTTTAGCGTGGCTTGATTCACCAGGTACTGACGATTCCGGAAAGGTTGACAGTGACAAAAAAAAAACAAAAACTGACCAATTAGGCTACAGGAGGGGCTTGGTAGCTTTAAAAAAAGAAAAAAGAATTGTCATTTCTGTAGCGTGCCACCCTAAAAACTGCAAGAAACTTTTAGGATAGTAAGGAGAATTGGGTGGATCAAGGGAGATAAGAATTGAAGATTTAAAAAAAAATAAATAAAAAATAAAAAGATGCTTTCCCTTTGTCAGGCTCCAAAACCATCCCGAGCCAGTGCTCACCTGCTCTATTTTGGTTTATTTTGAGTGTTTGCCACCAGGAAAACAGGTTCTCTGAGTGAAAATCGCTAGGCCACACACCCCCAAATGCATCAAGAGGGGCTGTAAAACACCAGCTGCTCAATCAACAACCGTCTGGAAGCAGATATACAGTTCTATGAAAAAGTATTCCCTGATTACTTATTTTTATGCATAGTTGTCACACTTACATGTTTCAGATCAAACTAATTTTATTATAAAATGAACCAGAGTGAGTACAAAATGCAGTTTTTAAAATGATTATTTCATTTATTAAGGGAAGAAAAAAATAAAATTATCCAAACCCACCTGGCTCTATGTGAAAAAGCAATTCCACCCCCCCATCCCCCCAAAACCCAGTAACCTTAATTAAAGTAAGCTTACCTGAAGTACAGAACTACTACTACGCATCATGTTTCTGCCAAAAACGCTGATTTAAAGGGACAGGTGAGAAGACACTGATTACCAATACAGTGCGGCTGCCAAAACCACAACCTGCAGCCAGAACAACCAACAGTTCTGGTTGGCGCCATTCTTGCCCAAATTCCCGCTTTATATACAGTATGCCCAAGTGCCGTCCCTGGGAGTAACGAAAGCCGATCGAATGAAAAATGGGCAAAACTGCCCACACTGCTACACTGTTTATCTTCTCGTTCAACGCATTTCATTGTAATGTTGACCCTGTGTTAGCACACGTTTGACAAATATATTGTTGTTGATTTCAGAAACAATCGGTCCGGGAGATTCATAATAACCCATTTTAATTATTTGAACAATATTCAGCTGTTCAGTAACTTCTGGTCCCCTCAGCTTCTCCACAGCCCCCTGATCTATCACTTTTAAAAAAATTGTCCAATTTTGTAACATTTCTCCATGTATAACAGTACATGATTTCAGCCAGTCCTACCACATAGGGCCCCTGTAGTTCTAAAGGTCGAGATGGCGTCACCATATTATCCAAACTCTGCTTATCGTTGAAGATGCTGAGACAGGAGTTTGACAACAGCGCGAGGTAAAAAGAGAGGCGATCCTCCATTTAAAAAAAAATGTCAAAATGGCTTCAGGCGTACCAAGTCCAGTGAGGATATCCATGGATCAAACCTCGACAGCCAGCCTTACCAATGTAGTAAAATCAACTTTTTCCCCTTTTCCATCTTAGGGCCAGAGATGGGCTGTTTCTCAGTTAAATGTGAGCAGTCTCCTTCTCCAGCACAAGAAGCACTCCTAGTGCTCAGACTGCCTGCATGGGCCCAGCCTCTGGGCCTGCAGAAATTAAGAGAGTTTCATTTGTGAATTTCAATTTACAGCATCAGTTTCAGCAGCTGTCTCCCAAAAGCGACAAGGAGCAGATGCGTAGGTGATGGTTGACGCCAAGAAGCTTAAGAGGTATGTTAGAGACTGGAACTGTTCTTTTTCTCTAACTTGCATTTAGAAACAAAAGTATTAGTCATTTTACCTTCTAAGATACACTACCATTCAAATGTTTTTGCACGCACTGAGATTTTCTACATTTGCACGTTACTCAATTGACATTTACTAAAAATACACTCAATAGTCTTCACTAACAAATAAATTTACCATATGTGCACCATTTCAGTACCTTTAGTAGTAAGAAAGCGTCTTATCTTATTCAGCAGTTATAACAGCAGAAAGGTATTCTTTCTACAATGGACATTAAATACTGCTCTGTTACATAGGATGAAACAGTTAACTAGTGCATCTAAAATTAAAGGACAGCCTAGAATTTGACTATACCATCACCACACAACCAGGCCATAGGATGGCAGACATGCACTGTTACATACTCTTTCCATGTTATAAAGAATTTTATTTGACTTTCATGTTTTCATTTATAGTCGTTCACTCAACTTTCCAATGCTTAACAAGAATTTAAAAATCAGTTAATGAAATAAATTTAAAAATGGTAAAAACCTGTGGCGTGCAAACACTTTTGACTGGTAGTGTATGTAAATTACAATTGATCCCTTTGTCTTCGACCAAACTCCAACTTCCTCTTGTATTTTTCACCATTACCACTAGATGGCAGTGCTATTTAGAATAACTTTTGCTACAGTATCAACTTTGCACTAAATTAATTGTGACACAAATGTATTTTGAGGAAATTACCGAATGAACTCTACCTACCTGGTAACAATAATTGTGCTTATCTAAATAAACATAAATTAGTTGAACTGTGGAGCAACATAGAATAATTTAAATGAGCAGTTTAACATTTTGTTCCTTAACTAGCGTGCCGTGCATATTTTTTGGTGTAATGAGCCTGGATTGTTAACTGGTAAATAAAAGAATGATAATGTTTGCAAACTGTAAGACAGATTTCACATGGGAAACATGCAGGTTGTCAGAGGGAAAAGTTGAGGGCTGATAGTATGATGCCAGGTCCCTCAGACTGGAGCTGCCTCTCCTGCCCCCCCATGGCGAGGAGGGGTATGTGCAGGTATCTACTGACTTGAACAGAGGCTCATTCATTTAACAGTGACAAGCAAAAATGTAATGAACAAGACCCAAGAATAGTTAGACATACGTCCAAAAGTTTATTTGGTAGCTACAAGATATCAGGCTTTTGGGTCTTCTGGTAGCCTGCTAATAGTTTTATGGGTGACTAAAAGCAGGGGTCCCCTAGATATTTTACATGCATAGTTGTGTACCCATATCAGCTTTTGTGCTTTGAATGACCATCTATAACACATGTTTATATACAGCACACTTTGTGCACAGTGTCACTGTGTAAGTGTTGACAATTAAACATATTTAATTGAGGTGCAATATGAATAAATTAAGCATATCTATCTTATCACCCTTGAGGTTTATGACAGCCAATGGCTGCAAATTACATTATGTAACCTTTAACGTGCATTTGGACAATGCTAATAAAAAAAGAAATAAAAATCATCAAAATAGTTCCTTGATTTTGTGCGAGGTACTGTCCTCACAGGTATGAATGTTCTCTGGCAGTGGTAATACTCTGAAGCCTGTCCTCCTCATGGGTCACCACTAGAGGGCACTGTAGTCAAAGGAGACTATCCTCAGTCACTGTGCTTCCTGTGATGAGGAACCAAGTGCGTTCCAGTGAAAAACACCTCCTGGTGAGCTGGTTCCTGTTAACCAGATGAATGTCGGTGGCGGTGGCAGTGGGGGGGGGGGGGGGGGGGGGGGGGGGGGGGGGGGGGGGGGGCAGCAAAGGAGCCAGCCGCTGTATGTTTCGAGCCATAGAGCGAAAATGCAGATGCAGTCCATGGTACACTAATGGCCCAGTGATGCTTGGAAATGCTTCCTTCCAGACTACTTCCTGTTCAACCAGCCACTTCCTGTTCAACCAGCCACTTCCTGTTCAGTCCACTGTAGTCGCCGATTCGTTGCCAGCTAACGCAGGCAAACCACAGTTTTGGGAGCTCTGTCAATGGAAACTGAAAACCAGTCACCAGCAACTCTCCAGCCAGATTGCAAAAGAAACACAGACACATGTAAACACACACACACACACACACACACATAAGCATTTTACACGGCAGCATAGACAGACTTGCTGCGAACACATGCAGAACACAATACAGGCTTCTACACCCTGACACCTGTCAGCGCCGGCGTGGAGACCAGCACATTGGTCACTTATCGCTACAGTTTAATGTGTTGGCGTCCTGTGGCTTTTAAACTGAAAAAGGCTTACGTTCATCTTTTATTTACGATCACCAAAAAAGAAGATTGAACAGGAGTTTCCGGGTTTCTTCTATCGGTGTACAGGAACCCTGGGGTGTAATAGAGGGTGAAGAAGGAGAAGGACAATATGACATCCTCAAGAGGAGACCTTCTACCACACAGGAGTGTTTTTACATTATGATGGGGGAGAAGGGGAACTCGTGCAGTACGTCACTGACAAGTCCTGCATTCTTGTTGTCTCAATAATCTCAGCCACGCAATTTACAACACATTACTGGATTTCCCTGACAAATCATTTCCCTCTTTGGAAGTAAGCAGCTCTGTGGAACTGATGGTCACCATCCATTTGCGGAATCTTAAACAATATCCAAGACGAGACAGCAGGTGAGAGTCATACAGAGTCGCATCACTCGATCCATGGGGCCCCTAACACCTTTGCTCTTTTGGTCTAGAAAAGATTATACGTAACACTTGTACATTGCGTGAACAAGGAGCTGACGCCAACCCCTGTGGAAAATGAACATCTGGATTTTCTTTTGGGAGACCTTATGGCCAAGGCTCTGAGATTTTGGGTTTAAACAGAGACTGGCCCCTTGCATGATGATGATGGATAAATGTTTTTTTCACAGTTACACAAAACAGCACTACAGCTTATACACAAACCCATCTTTTCACCATTACTGTCTTCATAGGACTTATTTTTTTGAACATTAATCTGTCACAGCAAGAACACGGCGCAAACAATACGTTGATCTGGCACCAAAACGCAATAGATTTTTTTGAGTTTTTTTCAGCCCCCTAGTGGCTGCCGTAGGTCAGTGCTGAAATGAACAGGCTTTACCTCCTGTGATGCTTTCCAGTGCGACACAGCTAGCCAGATCAAATCAAAGCCCTTGAGCCTTGACACTGTATCCTGTGACACGGTTATCTCTCCAAGCTGAAATCTAACAGGGTTATATGTCTTCATCTCTTGATTATAAGCTGGCACTAGAGTCCATGTATGCTTATACATAGGGATATTTTATTAAACAAAGCAGTCCCAGTTCTGTCCTTAAACGACATGAAGACACGGTCGTCCCGTTTTATTGGTGAATTATTGCTTATCACCTTGGAAGTTCAGGTGAGGCACAGCGAGGAGGGTGAGAGAGACCTACAGTCCGTTTCCTGCCTCGGTTCGGCTCCTCCCCCACTGGCCTCCGCCTCCACACTACAGCCCCATCTCCCCAGTGCTCCTCTCGCTGCGTGGAGACAGCTATTCCAGGTCCAAGTCCTGTCAAGAGGACTGCATGAGACCCGTCAGCCGTTTCCCCGTCAGCGATTTGCCCTGTGAAGGTGAGAGTGTTCAGCGTCAGGAAGGACCTGGAAGAGCCATCTTACATTCAGGGTAATAACAGGTCGGGTCTTACAGTTCAGCTTATACCAGAGGCAAGTAATAATAGCCACCTCACACCGCAGTGCCAACGTATCTTAGGGGAAAAAGCCAATGACCTTTTGATTGCAAAATTCAAGCCAGCATGCGACTCAGCATTACACAGGACAGAGGCCTTATGTGGACACGGCAGGGTAAGTGCGTTCAGGTATGCGGAGGAGTCCATTTCAAACAGCCAGAAGGGGCATGCTGGAGAAAATGATTTAGTATGACTGCCAAATCAGGCTTTTATGTCTCACATCTCACACCAAAAGGTTAATCGCTGCATTAAAAAAAAAGAAATGTTGCAAAATCCATGCTAAGGAATTTGTTGCACTTGAAATGCAATTAGCTGTGTACAGGTAGCACCAAAAATTTAATAAAATTATATCTGGTAAGAAATAACTTATTATGAGAGTAATAAAACACAACCCTCGCAGTTCCTGAATCATGTTATAATAATAAACTTTCTGTTACCCACATAAGAAAACAAATCACAGGAGGTTGAGAGGAATAATTTTAATACAAATTTGGACACCCACTACAGCTATAGTTTATGTATCGTGCTACATAGTAGTAACGTGTGAGCTGAAATGTTGCTTCTACTAGACAGCACCGTAGATGGCTTCTAACATTTCCAGCTGCACCCTTTTGCGGAGGCAGCTGAAAGGTGTTAGGGCCCTGGGGGAGAGCCAGCCGAGCTGAGCTACCAGCAGTACGTACCACGCTGCGGGTGAACTTCTCCAGTGAGGTGCGTCGGCCCTGCTCACTCTCAGGCTGCTGGCCGGAAGCAGGGGTGTGCGGTGTTGTGGGATTATGGGAAGTTGGTCAAAGCAGGACAGCAGATGTTAAGAGGGGAGACAGACAATGCAGTGGCGAGGGTTAGCTCTAGAGGGCAGCAGAGAGCAGTTAGCCGTGACCGCAGTGCATGGCGGCGTCAGCAGAGGGCAGCCTCTCATTCAAGCAAAATGAGTCAGTAGGGCCAATCACAAATCATTGCTGTAGGTTAAAGTGCTGCTCTTCCACAGGCCTTAAGGTACTCTTTGATTTGATCCCCACGAGTGTGGTTAATATCATTGTTAAATTGTTTTTCCACTGTTTTATCCACTTACAACAGAGCTCTTGCTCAGAAATGTGCACTTACTGTGTTTAGCTTAAGGGGGCTTCATAGTGGAAAGCTGATCAGTTTTATTAAAAGGTCATACAGTAAACTATCCTGTCAAAACAGTTCTCCTCTCTGATTAAAGCAGCTCCGCTTTCCTCCACAAGGTACCCCTGATCCCATGCGGGCCCCCATGACCCGGAGCCCCGTGCAGTACCACCTTCTTCCGGGCCAGCAGCAGGTCCTGGTAGGCGTTGGAGCGCAGGAAGCGTGCATAGCTGTCACTCTTCATAAGCTTGAAGATGTGCTCCTGTAAGAGGAGGAGATGGAAAAAGAGGGTGGCTCTCAGTACAGGGCCTACCCTCCTACCAGCAGGTGGCAGTAATGCGCTGTAAAGTGTCCACCCCATTATGATGTTAATTAATTCTGGGCTGGAGGAATCTAGAGGGATCGAGGGCCGTTATTTGAGCCTTTAATCCCTGGCATGAGGCGTCCCGGAGGCTGGCCAGCTCCCCCTTCATGTGCCATCTGCTTGTTGCTGGGAGGAACTCCGTGTGTGTTTGCACCCATTGAGTGGGTGTATGCATTTCTGCATGTGCATGCACATGTGTGTTTTTATACATGCTATGACCCTACCACCTGGGCTGTGAGTATGTTGGCATATGGTAACGTCCTTTCAGATTTCTGTAAATACATGTCCCTTTGTGTCTGCGTGAGGGGGCGGTGGGTAGCGGGCAGACTCCACTCACCTGGGCGTCTTCGAAGCTGTAGCGACCCGGGTCCTTGAGGTTCTGGCTGGTTCGCTCGTAGCTGTGCGAGTCCAAATTGATGGAGCTGGGCGCGCCCTCAGCCAGGAACTCTTGCCAGATCTCCTGGGCCCTACGGGGGACGTCCTGCAGGGGGCGCCGCTTTAGGTCCTGCACTGCCAGCCAGAACCTGAGCAAAGTAGCAGGGAACCCTTATCAGATCAATCCTCGGGCTTCAGGGAGCTCCCACTACTACCTCTGCAGGGCCCCCTCTACTCAACATCTCACTATAGTACGTAGTGACTGTCTTGTGTTATGACTAGGGTGTCCTCTGGTTTCCAGTCTCCCTGTCTGGACTGCTGCTGGGTGTCCTCCTTCTAGCCCCCTTGTCCTCCTTTTTCCCTCCCCCTTACCCACCTCCCAGTCAACAACTAGCACTATTCTCTCCAACCCCCAAATACACACAAAAAACGTGAAACACATGCACACACATACTACGGAACCCGAGACAAGGCGTGCTTGCAAATATTTTTTTATGCTGTTCTATCGAAATAACACGATAATTATCGCAATAGATATACCATTCTTGGCTTCCATAGTATTTGTATGATTACCCCCTCCCCCCCACCAATTTTTCATGGGTGTCCTCCTTTACCGGGCCTTTTCGGACCTAGGTGTCATGCCCGTGGTCACCCTAGTTATGACATGTCTGACTTGGCCAGGTACAAGTGGCCAAACAGTGGGGAACCAGAGCAACACGCTGAAGATGCGATGGGTCACAGGCAGAAGAGCCTCACCGCAAATTCTCAGAGCTGAACTCAGACTCCAGGAACTTCAGGAACTGGTCTCGGCCCGCAGGGTCTTTGAGAGCCTCATCCAGCGAGAAGCCCCACTTCTTCACCCGCTGCTGGCTGGGGTCCTTGCTGCTATCAGCCAGGACAAGGGAGGGCTTAGGACAGGGGCCATCAGCCAAGTTGGGTCAGGGGCTGAGGTCATTTTAGGCACATTGCTGGAACACTTCAGTTTGAATGACGCACACAATTTTTAATGTGTGTGACATGCTTGGGTGGCATGACCAAGCTCTCCTCCTGACACCCATGGGTTCCCCCAAATCTGGCAACATGTTTCCCAGGATACAAGGTCCTGTGTTCATGAGACCTTCCCACGGGAAAATGACACGCTTCAGACCTCTGGGAGTAACTCTTAACCAAAGTTTGAACAAGAATGTCTATTTGAACAAGAACAGCATGATGGGATCCTTAAACTCTGAAGTACTGAGAGATGGATAACTAGGTCTACTTAACTAACCAAGCTGACTGAGCCTACCTGGCCTCCAGGTCCCAGAAAATGGTGTCCTCACTGATCCAGGGGTTGGAGGGCTCTGGCATTGAGATGAAGGGGTCATAGTCCATGAACTGCTCGGTGTAACTCATCAGGCTGCGACAGAGAGACAGGAAGAATATGAGGTGGATTGGCAACCTACTGTACAGCCAAAGGGCAACACTGGAGGGGACAAGCCGATCCAGCAGAGGGCGCAATGATTAGAAACCTGACTTAAAAGAAGCCTGCAGATGCAAATCCAAGAAATGTGATCTGTTTGGTTGGACCAACCAGTATGATATCCAGCAGTGTTAACGCATGAAAGTGGTGCTTAATTTTTGTTGGAGCTCATCTCACGAACCTCTGGCCCAGAGCAGTCTATGCACTGCCACATCTCAAGCACACTCCACCACCTCAAACAATAGACCCAAAAGAATTAATCTGAGTTAAACTTTGGATTAAATGCAAATTGAACCAAAGAAATGTATATTTTCAAATCGGCTGTGTTGTATGTTTTTTTTCCCCACATACATTCACTTAAATTAGTATGTTTTGCTTATCTGACTTGATTTAAAAGGGAAAAACCGCACTCACAGAAAAATCCACTCTTTGACCACTAAAATTATAGCAAAATTATAAAAATAAAAATAATTAAAAGAAAATGTTGAAAAGAAAATTATATTTTGATTTTTTTGACAAGCAACAAAACCACTGGTACCCTAGTTTTAGTAATTAATAGAACATTATAGTTGTTAAAGACTTTGTATGTATGACATGGTCTTTATGAGGTCCAGCACCTCAAAGTTTACGAATTAACTGACTGGAAGGTTTCAGTTATGGCTGTGACCTTTGCACATAAAAACCACCCGCTTTGTAAATAAAACGGAACAATAAATTCTATACACGCTTGAAAACTGCGATGCAGCTTGTTTACGGTCAGCCGCTGGAGCACCGGCGGCCACAATGTGAAATTTAGCGGCGGATCGTCAGCTCCGATGGCGATGGGGAGGTTTCCCAGCAACACACTGGAATGATTTCTTAGTATCAACTGCTGTGTTGTTTAATAGAAAAACTTTCGGTTTAACACACCGCCGTGGGCCCAGATGAAGCTACTTAAATAAGGCAGTAGCCAGTGACCTTTCACCCAGGATTCAGTTCAGTGGTGGGGGGAGGGGTGGCGTTGGTAGATATCCCACCCCAAGCAAACTGCACCAGTAAGCTCCTCTGCAGACAAGATAAGTCAGATGAGAAGAGTGGCGTCTCTACATGAGGGGCCGGTGGGGGGGGCAGGCCCCACCAGATGGCGCTGTTGGGCAGTGCACGACATGATCATTAATTCAGTCCATAACGATATATATTATTCTTCACAAATAATCTTGTTGTGCCTTTATTACAAATGACAATGGCAGCACTATCTTGCTGCCAAATACCTTTTGCTATATCTGTTGCATCAAAGTCTGCTCCTAACAGTCTCCCATTGCTGTGCAAGGGGCCGACCCATCAGCGCCTGTCTAAGCAAGTGAGCAGCTGCATGTTCAATTAGAGCAAAAATGAGAGATTAAAAGTTTGCCCAGATGAAAGAACATCATGCAACTTTTCTTTTCAAGCAGTGAACGTCACTGGTGAGCCTATTCTGCATTATTGCAAGGGTGTTTTTACTTTAAGTTAAGGACCTCAAAGCAATGGGTTTGCTTTAGATGTGTTATAATAGTGATCATATTAATAAGTCTGGATATACCAGTTCTGTGAGCTCTAATGTTGATATTAATAATGCTCGTCTCCACTTCTGCTTACACCTGCCCATTACATTAATACATACTTGTGATTTAATTGCTGAGGTGCGTATATATCAGGATTCACTGAGCAAGTACTGTGCATGTTAGTGTTTATTGTGTCCCACCAGAGACGCCACTGTGACAGAGACGTCACTGTGACAGAGACGCCACTGGATGAGAGGGACAGTGACTGGCAAAGTGGATCAGCTAGGAACGTCTGAGGCTCCCAGACTGGCTCTTTGGGTGCCATGCAAGCAGAACAGAATGAGAGCCACACACTGAGTGGGAGGGGGGGGGGTGTTCAGGCCAAGATGCCAGCCAGTCCAAGTGCAGAAGGACTTCAGGGGCAGTCACGATCTCCCAGCAGGTCCGGGGGGGGGGGGTCACAGCCTGTCTGTGTTTGGCATCAGGCAACTTGTAAAGCATCACCACAAACTGGTTTCCAACCTGAAGCAGCCGGACTGCCTTCAGCCATGCCAGGACTGCTCCCAATGCACAGAAATATGCGATATGCATCAAGTCTTTGTTTCTGTAGCTGAATGTGTGCACAGCCAGGTTCGTCATGTTGAGCAAATGTGGTTAACAGCTCTGCCAGCTCCCTCATCCGATCAAAAAAGCAAGCATTCAGTGTGAATGTTTTCATAGTACAATCGCACCTGTCGGCGACTTTGGACATTTTCATGCAGTGTCTGTCCAGCTGGGTGTTGAGGAATGATATCTGCAGGGGATCAAAAAAAAAGCATTTAAAGAACCTGGGAACAGAGAAACAGCTTATTGGTTGAAAACGAACATGTGACCAGGAGCGTGTGAGCTCAGGTACCTCCTTCTGCACATCTTCTTTGGTTGCCTTCCTGATGGGCTGGGACGGCATGTGGACTGGGCTGTGAGTCGGCGTGTCGTCCGTCACCCCGTACACTGACTACCAACACCATGTGGGACAAATCCGTTAGATACCCAGGGCTCACCTCTCCACCCACCAGGGTATACGTCTCGACCGCACCTCCCAGACCTTACCTTCTTCACCTTCTGCGGGTTCTTCTCACGCCGGCACTTGCGGATGTCCATCTCAGTGGTATTTACGCAGCCTGGCTGTGAGGGAGTCATGTGATCAGGCCCCATTGATGTCACCATGGCCAACACTACAGGTGTCCTCTTGGGTCTTAGCTTTAAACCCCAAGGACCCCATGTCCCACTCACCACTGGTCGATGCACGTCCCAGAATGCCCTCTCCTGACTGTCGAGGATCTTCCTCTCTGTTTTGTCCTTCTTCCTGTCAATCCTGAGTAAACCGATGACATAATTTCAGTAGTGATGTGAGCCTTTCAGCTCAGCTCCCAACTTCACAGAAGCATCCTAGTGCCTACCTTACAGAACTCCTCATTCTTACATAACTGACGTACTCCAATGGTTTTTTTTAATGCCACTACTTGCTCATTTAATGGTTTGTTTTGCTAATCGCTTTGCTAATCTCTCGCTATTAACTTATCTTTCCCACGACATTGCGCACGAGATGATCTGTGGATTTTGTGGTGCTCTTACATTGACCTGCCACTAGATGGAGCTGTGTAATGGGAGCTAGTTTTTTGGTCAGGTGTCTGCAGTGGAAAAAAATAGAAATGGGCGACGAGCGAGAGCCGGACGGCAGTGAAATTTTTATCTTTGAGCGATTCAGATTCTCAAAGAGAGAAGCAACAGCATCGTACTGTTCTATGAAATGACGGTAACTCTGATCTTGAGCTCAGAATGGCCCCCCCCCGGCAGACTCTCTGACCCACAGCTGTCCCACACCCCCAGACACTTACTTGACCTGGGCTTCTGCCTGCATGAAGATGAACTCCCATTTCCTCGCGAAGGCCCTCTGCAACCGAGCCAAGTTCTCCTGTAGGTTGAGACAAAAACCGCGCTCTGAGCTCAGACACAGCCGAACCGGGGACAGCGCAGGGACCCAAAGAGCTGTGGTTCCCACCTCGGGGGGGGGGAGGGGGCACAGTGCCCTCCAGCAGGGGGTCAGTTCGACATGTATGCTCTATGGCCAAGCCTACAGTGTAAATAGCCCGCAGGGCTTGGGGACAGCAGGGGCCGAAATCCGGCCTGGTTTCTAAGCGTCTATAAGTGTCTAATAAATAATGGATGCATCAGTCTTTCAGCTCTTACTGTGGAAGCTCCATCCTCTGTAGGCAGCTTGTGCTGCGCCGCAGAGAGGCTTTCACTGGGCCTCCACCAAGGAGAACCGGATTAAAGCTGAGCAACCTGAGGAGAGTGCAACGAAAGAGGTGTGACCCCCCACCCGCCCCCCATTCCCGCCAAGCCCCCGGGCCTGAGCAGGGCTCACCGCCTCAAAGTCGGCCAGCTCCAGTCGGGCTTTGTTCTGCATGGTCCTCTTGCAGAGGTAAATGGCTGGTGGGGGAGAAAACAGGAGATTGACTGAGAAAGGCCAACCCCCCCCCCACAGGAAGAAACGTGTATTTCCTGATGGGGGTATGGGGGGAACCACACAGCACCACGAGATGAAGGACAGCAGAAGGATGGAACGCTGTCCTTACCGTAATCCGTGTTCTCCGGCTCCCAGCAGTTGGAGGGCCAGAAATACGGGGCCTGGAGAGCATGAGGGGAGGGGGTATCTGTGAAAATCTGTCATACATGGTGCCTATAGCTCCTCCTCCATAACACAGGAAGGGACCGATGACAGCAGAGTGACAGGAGGCACCAGAGTAGTCCTGCAGTCTGCCCCCTACTGTCAGCAAGGTACCGCTGCATGCAGCTGGCTGCTCGAACCTCAACTGTATCACCAGTAATGCCATGCGATACCACCAACTGCCACTGCCGTTCACCAGCCTCTATGGCGCCCCCCAGTGGGATGTGATAGCGACTGAGAATGACAGCCACCAGCGATTGTCATTCAGCCCAGCCACGTCCGTAAAAAACGACAAAGTCCAGCATCGTAAATCCCCTCTCATCACTGCCTGGGAGGGTAATCTCTCAACACCGATTACTGGTAAGAGTGACCTTGCCGATGCCCCTCCCCCCACTGGTACAACGTGCCCCAGTCAATTGCACAAAATGTCATGGTGGCCTGCTATAGGAAGAGACGTCCTCGCTGCTTTTTCTACCCTTTGATTGGCCAGGCAAGGTTCACAGAGACACAGACCCTCCCCCACTCCCCATCAGGGCATTACACTCACGCTACACGCCTTTGTTCTTAAATTACAGAAACTCAATGAAAAGCGGATGCAGCCCGACTCTTTCACCACTGAGTATTGATTTGATGAGATCAAGGCATCTGTGGCTGAGGAATGTCAAAGCAGAGTGGGATGGTGGTGCTCTGGCGCCCAGCCCGCTCACTCCCACTGTTCCCTCTTTTTGTATTTCACTGTCACTGGACAACGCGGTTTTTCTCGACTAATGATGAGGTTGATTGATCAACTAAAACCCATAACAATGGCGTTGGGCTTTATCGGCACTGAGTATTAACCCTCTACATTCCCGTGCTCAGGGCTACACAGACACCTATCCAGGTGTTGCCACCAAACTCTACAATGACTTGACTTAGCATGTTAATTGAGAGGACTGATCAGTAACTTAGGGCTCCATCACAGCTCGGAAAGATCCTACTAATTTTTCTTGGGGGCATTAAAAGTGGAATACTCCCTTATTTCTCACTCCATGCTAAGCACAGTGGGATGCATTCAGTGAATGCCGGCCTTCCTACAACACAATTTATTTTTAACCAAGCTGTTTCTGTGATTTTTCTCTGACAGCTGGGGTGTGGGATGGACTCATATGTTTAAGTGAGCGTACGTGTCTCCCCTGTCATGACGGCCGCTGACGTCCGCCTGTTGTGCATCGGAAATGGCGGCAAACAATTTTTAGCCCCATTGCATTTCTGCCCGTTGCCCACACGTTTCCCCTGCCCCTCTGAGAACGGTGATGAAATCACTCAGGGAAGATATTTTACTATGAATGAAATTAGCATGTTATGAATAAATCGTAACAGGCAGGGCTGACGTACCTGTCTGGTATCATCATCCAGCTGGTGATACTGTTGAGAGCCACTGATATGAACGTTCATTTATCATTCCCACGCTAACGCTAAGGTAAGCTAATGCTAAGGTAAGCTAATGCTAAGGTAAGCTAATGCTAAGGTAAGCTAACGCCGATGCCCTCCCAGATACTAATTCATGAGAGTCACAGACCAAACAAGAGAGTAGGAGGATGCAGGCTACTCATTGTCACGGGCGGTAGCTACGGTACCCATCGCTCATCTCCCACTCGCTGCCTGACAAGTGGCTTTGCTAACCTGGAAGCGGTAGAATGTCCCATCATCCTTCAGCGTGAGCACATGGTCGGAGATGGGAAAGATGTAGCCCTGGGCGGCTATGAGGCTGCCGAGATGAATCGCTTCAGCTGCGGAGGAAGATGGCATCTTATCGAACGAATGCGAAATGCCGACACGAGTCTGTGTACAGCAAGTCAGATCCATGGCTGAATGACTCAACCGAAAGCTACCGGCTACCTCAAGCAGCCCAGTCCTTCCAGTCCGTGGTTTTTGAACCATCATACCTGGATCGTCAATGGAGAGATTCTTCAATAACCACTGGATGATCTCTGTACCTGTCATTAATGAGAGAAGGGAATGGTTACCGCAGAGAAAGTGCTTTAAGAAAAGGTCACATAGGTCAGGGATGTAGGCTGGTCACTGAGGTAACCAAAACACTCAGACTTGCAACAAGCTTCTCCTGGTAAAGCCATTAACCAGCATGCACTGGGGCGACTGAGCTCATATTTTTACAATCCAGAACTTGCCTGCATTTTTCCACTTTATACAGTACCTAATCTGAGCACAATTAATTAACTAAAGTCTCGTTGATACACACAGTGGTTAAATCAACATTTGTGTTTTTTTTTTTATATATGTCTGTTTGTTTGCGTAATTAAGTGACGGCTGATTTTAATTGGCTCTAAACGTTCCACGCTGTTGTCATTACCGGTTGTGCCCTTGTGTTCCTCACCAATGAGCTCACCACCTCAAAAACAGAACAGTCACCAAATTTTAGAGAGTAAGGGAAGGTGATGGAGGGATAGAAAGGAATGATGGCTGACATTAGGGTGCTAAAAAGGAGAGCAGGAAAGCCACCTGCTCTCTCTGCAGTAATGGAGCTCTCTCACACTAACCATTGGCTCCATAATCCCTCAACAAACAAGGTTCTCGCTCAGGCATAATCACTGAGGTGTGTCCCAATGAGCCATTTCACTGCGGCCGCATCGATTGCCCCCCTCCCCCCTCGTGCTGTACTCATTTCAGAAAGGACTCTGAAAAAGGGCCATCTTCTCACTTGGTGTACCTTCTGCTAGCGCAGAGCCAATTACATCGTTTGACCCAGTTTTAATGTCAGACGGCCGGCCCTCTGTGTTATCATGCTATTGGAAGCAGCAGGAATGAGATTCAAGCCGCTTGGTGTGATGTTTAAAAAGCTGTGATTAAAACCACACCATCTTTTCGCCTTTTTTTTTTTTTAAAAATCTTGCCTCAGGCACTCCTAGTGTGAACATATTCTGTTTGCAATACAGGCAGGGTGATTCATTTGTACTGGACATATGAGCCATAAAAATGCATTTGTATTAATGGCGTGTTTTGCTTTTTTTGTTGTGATTATGGAAAGTGATGCCCCCTCTGGGTGGATAGGGGAATTGCACCTCAGGTCTGTGGGTCAGGATGGCTGTAGGTGGAGCTCACCCGTGACTACGCTGGGGATCTTGGACAGGAAGCTCTTGACCGTGCGGATGGGCACCCCCATTTCCTCGTCCTGGAGACGTTTCACCACGTCTTCGATCTGTGGGGGGGTGGAGATAAGGGTCATTGCCATTGCGGTCAGAGACCCACAGAGGATGCAAAAGGGAAAGCTGCCCTGTTCCGGCTAGTTCTTGGTACGCTGCTCGTCAGGCACAGTGCCGCTGGTTGCCAAGGCTGCTGCACGCGTGTGGGAAGCGAGATTTCTGTCATTTCAGACGCAGTTTACATGTAAACACAAACACTGAGTCCAACAATTTCAGGGGCGCGACTGAACCACAAATCCTCCCGCACAAGTTGGTAGATGCAGCATAAACATCAAGAACGCAGTTCTGATTATATAACACCACCACCCCCCCCCCCCCCCCCCGCCAAAATCTTCTATGATCTCCACATCATCACATTGTTCATATCTTCTCAAAGAATTAAAGTGGAAGAGAAATATCTAGCATTTGTTTACCTTCAGGCTAAAGGAATAGAGATGCGTAAGTTCACATTAGAAAGCCAGTTGATTTTCACTGAAGAAGCAACCCCGACCCCCCAGCACTGCTGTATGCAGATCACAGCATGTCACTGGAGAGACAGTGCAAAGGTCGGAGGCCTTCCCTGCACTGGGACTTGCCCACACTCACCACCAAACCGCATCGGCACTCAGTGGTTGCTGGGGCGACAGGGAGAGAGCGAGGTGGCTATCGGAAGGACTCGACCGCAGTGGGGGCGTGTGGCCTCAAATTAGGAGCGCCGCTGAACAGGTGGGCAGAGGAGGAGAGGAGGGACACGCGGAGTGTGATTAATCCCCCCCCCCCTCCCAAAAACAAGGCTGCATTCGATGTGTTAAGTGGCTGGCGCCCCCTATCCCCCAGGAGACGTGCACTTGCCTCTCCTTGTGGATAAAGCACCCCCCCCCCACCCCGATAACCCCAAGAGAGGGGGGTGATGTCATTGCTCAGCACAAGTTTAAACCCAAAATCAATACAGATGAAAAGCTACCATGATCCAGATAATGTGGGAGGAGGAATTCCGACCAGGGTATGTGCTGTGAGCAGGAAAAGTCATCAGAGATTGGCTGAATGATGGGTGGGCTGGGGTGGGCGGGGGATGCTTCTCAACAATGCCGTTTGGTCCTCAGAAGCATCACGCTGCACAATTAAACGCTACACAAGGGGCGGACCCTCTCCAAACAGCATGGTCGTTACCTGAGCTGGGCTGCCCTTTGCCCATGTGTTCATAACAAATACATCAGTTAAATCACCTGAATTATAAACCTGCCGACTGACGTTATTGCATTTTTTCCCCCCATTGACGTAAATTAACTACGCAGCACAGCTTAAGTGTTTAGGAGAGCGGGGGCCCTGCTCGTTAATCTCATCCGTCACACTGTAATAGATTTTCAGATATTTTGATGCAGTGCCCAGTGGCCACATGCACACGCATGCGCCATGTGTACTCACACTGGCTGCACACACTGGTACCAGCAGGCAAAAATTTAAAAATTGGCCCATTTTAGACTTAATAAGTCATAATGATTTGTTTTGATACCAGATAAAGGCAGAATAATTTCAGGTCTTTAATGGTTTTGGAGATGGTTATTGGTCTTTCCCTGACCTCATTTTCACTTTTGTGCAGTTAAATGTGGGGCTTTGTTACAAAGCTTTATTTCAGTATCTAGTTTAGTGGGGTTTCTGTTGGCTTGTATGAGGAAATTGAGGATGAAATTGACCGATATTTTTGTCGACCTGCTGAAAAATTGTTGCATTTCAGTGGTTAATTTCAGTGCAGTTTTTGAAAGAAATAACGACAAGGCACAAGTTGGCAAAAGAGTAAGAAATGTCCTTTATTTTCTTGGAAAAAAATATTTAAATGTGACATTTCTGGACAAAGTGATAAGTCGAATCTGAAGCATTTTGGGCCAGTTTTTACGCTGGTATAAACTCCAAGCTGGTCTGGCTTGCAACGTCGTATTGGGATAATGCACTCTTTACACCATCGCAGAGGTACCCCAACGCTCTGTCACAAGTTAAAGGGCAGCCAAGCACGCAAACCCACAGCCACAGCAAGACGGCACAGAACAGCCACCAGAGCAATATCCATGCAGCAGAATGAATCCCACCGTGCCTCAGCGGAGCCTCCCTAGCGGGTGTGTTTAAATCGACCTCTACGGGGGGGTGATGTGCTCTTTTTCACGGCTGTTAAATGAAAGCAGGGGGCACCTTAAGGTACCAGTGAAGGTCTGCTGAGCAGAATATTTCAGGTGAGGATGGAGCTGTAGAGTATGAGGGATATCTAACCCTGTCCCCACCTGGGCAAAGGCTAGTATGCAGCTAGAGAGTAACACAGCAGGTGTCCGAACCAGTCAACCATACCCAATGTTGGTAGATCTAACTTGTTTAAGTTATTATTCCTTGTCAGTTACCCTGACCAGTTTTAAAGTAGCATTAGTTGCGAAGATGAACTTTAAATGTAGGTGGTTTTGGTCAGTCTTACATTTCCTTGGTTAAAACAGCCTCCAGTCTGCATTGGAATTTACCTCTGTTATTATTTACAGGCCTGCCTGTGAAACCGCAAGACATTTCATCCCCGAGCGGCCACTGCATGAGAGAGGCAGAGAGACAGGAGGGCCGGGCGCAGAATCCCAGCGCCGACCTCGGTGGGAAGACGGGGCCCAAAGCGGACCGGGAGCAGGGAGCAGCGGGTGTGGAGATGCGGGCATCTCCAACGCTGCCAGGAATAACGAAGGCCTCGTCACGCTCGAAACACGCAATGTTGGTCCTCAGGAAGCCTGGGCAGAGAGGAGCAAACGTGGCTCAGTCCTGCCAAGGGTGGGGGGGGGGGCTGGGGATTAAGCCCAATGGGTTCTGTCACAACTCACCCGCCCAGCAGACAGAAGCCTGCGTAACGTCGGGGTCTCTGTAGCGTAGACTAAACCTCTGGGCTACAGTTGCACAAGAAAACAGCCTCCACCACCACAATGGCACAAAAGATGACATTTTAAAAATTAATACCTAACACTCCCCAGTCCCTGATTCGCCGTAGTCTGAAGGTCACTTCACAGAGGTGAGAGCACTGCTCCCGGTTTCCGTGCCATAAACTTTTTCTGTGTTTGTCATTCCTCCCTAAATAATTGAACATGACCATGTTCCTCATATGACAATGGAAGCAGAGAGGAGCTTGGGGATGATGGTGCTGGTGCATTGTGGGAATTGTGTGTGAGTGTTTCTTTTCCTTTTCGATGTTTACACTGAGATTACCCCTGATCCGGAAGCATTCTGACCCTGTCTTGCCGTTGCTTATGATACTATAATGCAACTTTCCGCTGCGCTCAAATCAGCCTGAAACACCTGCCATCTATTTTATTCATCAGACTGAGCAAAAACAAATGGAGGTTTGGATCTCTTACTTAGGGAAAAAGAGAATTCCATCTTTCTATCATACGCTGTTCAATGTCCTGTCTGACTTGGAGGGAGGCTGGGCAGATTTGTAAGATATTAAATATAGATGGTATTAAATGTGAAAGAAATTCTCCAGTCAGTCGTGTTTCTCAGTGCTGGTAAAGATCAGAGCTGGTAAAAAAGCCAAGTAGGTCTGGTACTGAGCGGTCGGTGAAGGTACACGCCCTGAAAATGAGGGCTGGGAGAGGCAGAGCTCTTTAGGGAGATTGACACGGGTTCTAAATCGCCCTCCGGACGGCACA